ATTACTTCTACTTCTACTTAATCGAGTAGAATATAAATCAATCCGTCATATTATATCAGTACCTGTAAATATAAATCAAATGGAAAATTCAAGTGTTCAAGAAATAGAAAAAAATGATTGTTGATATTTAGAAAGTATAGAAGATTTGTAGTAATCCTAGGGTTGTATTAAAGGGAAAAAAAGGGGAAAGATGATAACTCGGGGTAATGGTGAGGCAAGATGCACCCCTGACCGAGGTCGTGGGGCGCTTTACTATGCCATACTCGAAGAGGAAAGATCCGAAGCCACGGTATACGTTACTCCCTATACTACTCGCAGTGGGGAGCCATAGAATGGCATTATGGGTAGAGGAGACCTTCTCTCTCTCTCTCTCTCTCTCTCCTCCCTTCCTACCTCCTTTCCTCCCTCCCTCCTTTCCTCCCTCTCTTTCCCAGAGTCGATCCTAACCAACTGAACTAACTCCCCACCCCCCGGTGGCCCACCCATTCTCCTGTTGCCCCGCGGCAGCACAGCATTGTCTGGCAGCCATATTGGAATAACAGCCAACCCCGTCGTGATTGGTCCGTTTTTTTTTTTTTTTTTTATTTTCACGGCAGAACCCATGGCTCTCTGCTGCACGATACTACTCTCAACACCACGGGCCCTGTTCGTGATGGTTAGGCAATGCCTCGGTACGCGATAGTCTATCAGTCGACTCCATGCTGTGCCTGCATCGAAATCCTTATATTATTCTTACGATTACGATTGGTCGTTATGATTTTCATATATACGAAAGTAATAATAATTCGATGCTACGCGAATATAAACAATTCGTGATAATAATATTCAATTGTTTTATTAATATATATTATTTATTATTATTATTATTGTCGTTATTTAATAATAAATTGAGTTATTATTCGTTTTATTATTACGATAAGTTTTTATTAAGGTTATTCCTGTTACATTTGTATCGTGAAAGAAGGAGAAGAAGAGAAAAATTGGACTTAATCGAATATGATTATGGGGATACCTTGAACAATCTCTACTTGGACAATTTGAAAGGATTTCAATGTTTCATTTCATAATTGTTCAATATGCGACTAAATATAAAACTGTTGCTAATTGTTAACAATTGTTTTGAAATTGTCGGACTATTCGAGTTGGTGACATTAAATGGATTTTTATTGATCGTTGAAAAGTGACTGACTGTTTTTTCTCTCTCTCTCTCTCTCTCTCTGTCTTGTAATAACTTAGAATGATGAAAATACTTTGAAAAATAAGTGTGTTATGTGTTTTTATTGATAAGAAAAGTCAGTGTTATAAGTCTGTGTGTGTGTCTGTTTTGGGATTATTATTTTCGTCCATCGTTTCTGGATTAAATTGATCAAGGTATATGTTACATATATATATATAAATGTTAAAAATGTATTCGTAAGCAATGCAGTAACACTTGAAAGACAGAGAAATCAAGTATAGTTAGTTAGAAACGCGTTTTACGCTCGGTCAAATGACGATTTATCACGATCACCGAATGAATGTCATTGAAAACTCATCGTTCTTCGATTTGTATTATTATTTTATACGATACTATTAACCCTTTTTACAATATCTCACACATAGAAGATAGATTTCCAATAGAAATAATCATATTGACTGATTATACTTAATTGAACTTAAACATTGATACAAAGAATATAAATTTTCAACATAAAGTAATCATAAAGTAATGTGTGTTAGAATATATATTAATTAATTCTTCCGTTAAAAAAAAGGAAACAAACAACAAATCTAATATATTATCTTTGTTTCGTTTGTTTTCCCCGATTGCAATATCAGGTAGCATGATCTCAAATCTTTCCAATTCTGATGCTCAATAAGTAAGATGTCAAAAGATCAATATCATTTGTTGTTACAATCCCAATAGTCGTCGATTCTTTTGTCATTGCAAGAATATGAAAAAAGTATGAATAGAAAATTTATATGTGAAGTTTGAATAAAAGATATAACACGGATATATCTGTCAAATATAAAAACTTTGTATAAGACGACAATCGTGCTAATGCATTTTAACGGAAGGATCAAAGTCACGTTTGTATTTATCGTTTTACGAATAAATAAGGAAAAAAAAAGAAGTTCAAAGCTTTTAATTCGGATATACCTTTCCTTCCTTCGGGGAATAAGAATGAAAGAAAATGTTCTGCCGAAAAAAATATTGCTCGAATAACAGGGACAATTATTATCCCCGATCTCTAAGGGTAAGAAAAAGAGAAGGAAAGAAAGAAAATATGAGAAAGAAAGAGAGAAAGAGACAGAGAATATCCTAAGCTGAAGAAAACGGTCGTTAAGTGTACCCGCGAAATATGAAAAATGATCTGTCGACATTGCCACCGGTGCCCGTGGAAAAAGAACGAGCTACCGCGAGTTCAAAGAAGCCGTGTAGGGATTTCGAAAAGATTGTACCAATGATCTGCCATTAGATGCGTAGCTAACATCTATGATCATTCTTCTTCCAACCTTTTTTTTTCCTCCCCCCCCCCTTCCGAAACCTTTACACACACAGTTTTTTTTCTTAACCTTTACATACCAGATCGAACAAATTTAATAAAACATTCATCGAACATTAAACCTTTCGATAATACATCTTTGTTTTTTTAGGTCTCTCGCGAAAAATCATTAAAAATGTAAAATTCCAAACTATGTAGAAAAAAAATTCGACGAACGTTGTCCCATTTCTTTTTTATTTTTTTAATTCTTCGATTAATCGGTTTTTGATAAAAGGGGGGAAGAAAACATGTTGGCCATCCAAATAATCGTAATTCCTTCTTTCCTTTTTTTCTTTATTTCTTTCATTTCATTTCTCTTGTAATGTCAATCATTATTGACAGTTTTCAGATCGATTCAATGTGTCAATAGTTTTTCAAAAGATGTTTCTTAAAAAGATTTAGGCGAGTCTTTCCCATGAAAAAAAAATGAACAAGAAAAATTGGGTAGGGTTGGTGATACACACATCGATGGTCCCACAAATTACGAATACCCATTATGGTTGTGATCATACGTTTGAAGCAAATAATAGTTAGCACCACTCGTTAATTTAATAACCATTCGAAAGGTGTTATCTTCTCGTTCTCAAATCAACCAAACCAAACCAAACCAACCAGCCAACCAGCAACATTCTCACGAAAAATTTTTCCTTCCCATTTTTTTTCTTATTCTTTATCATCGTCTTCTATTTTGATCCTTTCTTTCTTAAAGAAGACAAGACTCACACACTAGCAACGACAGGTTGCTCGACCGGAATGCTACACCGAGAAGAATTATTATATTATAAGATTATTATTTCTAATAACAACCCTAACTGTCAATGAACATAAAAATCAAATAAAGAGAGAGAGAGAGACAGATAGAGGAAGGCAAAAAAAATTGGGAAAGAAAAAGAAGAAGAAGAAGGAGGTGAAGGATTTCAAAGCACGTCGGAACATTCCGTTTTCTTATTCGATAGAAAAATATGTATTGAAAAAACAGACTATTCATATTTCATATTCATTTTTTCTCTTATTTAAATATAAAAATTCTAAATACATGTTAGGATTTTTTGATTAATTCTATTTACACAATCAATTTTAATATTGTTCCATATTCTCTTCTCTGGAATCCAAATTTATAAATCGAATCTATTTGTTTGTGTTAACTAGAAACAGGTTAATTAAAATTATTGTGCACCGATTAATGCTGAATTTAATTAAAATTGACCAAAATCCCAACAGTTTTTTAAATGTTTTTTTAAATGTTGCACATGTTATCAATGAACAACTTTGTAACACTTAATCCGTTTGTTACAAACTTGAATATAAGATTAATCAAATCTAAAATTCAACATTTAATATTTTGATTTATACTTAACTTCAAATCTCAATCCCATGGATTTTTATACCAGCTTATTTTCTCTTATTCAAATAAAAATTCTGAATACATGTTAGATTTTTAAGATTGTTTCCATTCACACAATTAATTTCAGTACTTTTCCATATTCTTCCCTGTAATCCAAATTCATAAATATATATATAAAAATATGATTAAATCTACATCAAATGATCACACACACACACACATACACACACATCGTTCGATAATATAAACGCGAAAGAACGCGGAAAGATAAATTTGTTTTCCCTAGGAACACATTCCAGGTCATATTTCGGAGTGTGCGTGAAAATTTAGGTGGGAATAGATAAGGACTCGCGATTGGCCGTTGGGCGGAACGTTTCGAGGGTAGTTCGTAACAGCAGGTGGATCTTCAACACCACCAAACCAACCCTCCCACCCCACCACCCATTGTCCCTCAATTAGTTACTTTTTTTTTCCCCCATGCTGACTACACAGGTTAACCAACTCTCCCTTTCCCTAAAAATTGTTACCTTCCCGAAGCAGAATCCGGTTTTTTTAACCAGTCGGATTGTTCGAGTGGCCTGAGTTTAGAGACGAAACGATTTTAATGTTCCCGCAAGTTTTCATCGTGCCCCCTGGTGTACGTTTTTTCTTTTTCTATTTTTCTTTTTTTTCTAATTAGAGAAAAAGTATCATTCAGTGAATAACGTTGAAAGGGTGTACACGTGTGGTTTTTCTTTTTTTATTGTATTCTTTTTTCTAATTAAAGAAAAAATATTGTTCAGTGAATTTGGACGTTGAAAAAGGAGACACACGTCTTTTCTAAAAACAAAATAGAAGTGATCGATTAAAATATTCTAATGTATAATAACATTATTATTCGATTATTATTGAATATATCGATCGATGCATTTTTAATTATCAAATTGTTATTATTATTATTATTCTTTCTCATTTTATTAGGACTTCGTTCTGTTCTATCTTTTTGTTTTTCTTTTAATTATTATTCCCAAAAACGATTTATTGTTTTTACCGAAGGTAGGGTAAATTATTAGCCTCGTTATTAATTGTTATTAATTTTAATAATAATTTGAATGAATATAAATGCATATTTTGGTTTGTTTGTTTAACAGGAGAATACATTCTCAGTTCGTGCAATCAAAACGTCGGAAACAACAACGAAATCGAAGAGGAAGAGGAGGAAGAACTTCTCAGAGAACAATCATCGTTCGGTTTAAATCATCATCCCTTGGCTGTATTTTCCGATGATTCTTTAGGCCTGACCGAAACATTAGGTCTTGAAAATGATTTCACATCGGAATTATTGAGTGACAGTTTATTAGGAAGCACCGTTGTTGAGGATTTTCTTGGTGGTAACGATCTTGGTTTACCCGACGGATTCAATCTTGAGGAAGCACTTCAACTTGTTGGCCTCGATGAGGTTAAACCAGATAACGAGGTATTTTACAAATATATTTTTCAATATTTTTATTTTATTACATCGGTCCCCCATTTATCATTTCGCATTTTCGCAAAAAAAAACAAAAGAACAGAAAAAAAACAGAACAACGAGATTATCTTTTTTGTTTTCCCCGTTCGCAATTTGACACGTCTTAACGATCGAGAAAATTCGTAATTAAAACACAAAATGAAAGATAAGATAAGATAATAGAAAGAGAGATTATTAATAAAACTTTCTATAAAATTTACATTTTACAAAAGTAAAGAGAAAAAAAAAAAGGGAAGAGGCATGTTGTATGTGGTTTTATTACATATTTTCTTGATCTTTTGAGACTGTAGACACCATTTTGTTTGTTTTCCATTGAACTTAGGGGGAAAACGTGGGATCTCATGATTTCACATCCAGCACCTATACCTACTCCGAGTCTCATAAACTCTATTTAAAAACAAAAAACAAAAAGAGAACCGCGTTGTTTATTTATTTCATATTAATTATTATCCCGCGATTAAATAATAATAATAATAATATAATTTTGTACCCGATGAAAATGAAAATGAAAAAAATAAATTAACGAGCAAGAAAACAAACGTTTGTTTCGATTATATAATGAAGAGTCTCATAAACTTTATTTTAAAAAACAAAAAGAACCGCGTTGTTTATTTATTTCATATTAATTATTATCCCGCGATTAAATAATAATAATATAATTTTTTATCCGATGAAAATGAAAATGAAAAAAATAAATTAACGAGCAAGAAAACAAACAAACAATCAATCAAAACCAAACGTTTGTTCCGATAATATGATGAGACACGGAGGATTGTTCGCTAGGAAACGAAATACGAACTGAAGAGGGAAAAGCAGGAGGAGGAGGAGGAGAAGAAGGAGAAGAAGGAGGTGGTGAAACAAGAAGAGATAAAACAGGAAGAATTGTTGATCGAAGAAAACGAAGACGGGAAACAAAGAGGTGGCGGAACGGGAGGAGGGGGAGTGGGAGGAGACGAGGAAGAAGAGGAAGAGGACATCGAGGACGAGGACGAGGAGGAGGAGAACTTTTACGAGAACTACGAGGAGGACGAGGACGAGGACGAGGAACACGAACACGAACAGGAACACGAGGACGACGAGGAGGAAGAAGAAGAAGAAGAAGTCGTTGTCATTGGTTCTAAGGAATTTACTAACGCTAAAGGTGACGTATTTCCTGTCAACGTCTCTGGTAACGTCGCTGAGGTCGCGAAGTCATCCAGGTGCGAGGATCCTGAAACCGGCGACATGATTCATACACCGCAATTTCATCATCCCCATCATCCCCACCACCATCGCTCCTTCCAGGTAAGCCTTTCTTATTTTTATTATTATTATTATTATTATGTCTACTGATTTTTTTGTTAGTTTAATTTAACGATTAGATTTTAATCAATTTATCATTAGTTATATAACTTTTTAAACAAATTTTCATATTTCTTAACGTTTCAACAAAAATATACAATATTTTGTATACAAGAAAACAAAAGTAAGATGGTGCTTTTCGGTAATAATAATTTCTTAATTAATTGCACTTCCTGGATCACGGTCGTTAGAAGATTAAATATCCTCGAGCTTCTTGAGGAATGATTTTCAATCTAATGGACCCCCCATCTTCCCCCATACCCTGTTTATAGCTACGATTGTAATGATAATCTCAGGTTGTAATTAACCGATGTGAAGGAATTTATATCGTATTAAATGAAAAGCTTTCTTAATAAAATGATAGTTACTACCAGGGGGAGGAGAGGGTGGAGGGGGAGTTGGTATAGTGTTAAAAAAAAAAGGAATGAAATGACGTGGAAAGGGTTTTCCATAGGAAAATCTTTGAAGAATTTCATCATTTTTATTTCTTTTAGTTTCATTTCGTTGTGTTTCCCTTTAACGTTTTGTTTTTCTAAAATCTTTTAATGAGAGGTTTAGGATAGTCGGAATGATATTGCGTTAAAGTGGCAGAGAGAGAGAGAGAACTCGGTGATATACGAAGTAGGAAACAGACGACTAGGGAAGAAAGATAAGAAATAAGCTAGGCGCATAGTAAAGCCTCTTGCATAGGATGCGTGCATAGGATGCGTGCATAGTTAGAGCGGCGTTTACGGTCCATAAACGGGGACACTCTTTATTTACAGCGTCGACCGCGAATGCACCAATGCACTTTTCTCATGGCATCCTTCTCTAATATAAGCCGAACCTACGCGTAACCGACAATTACACGTCGTAACCGCATTTTAATGTAACGAGTTAGTCGTCATCAAGAGGGTGGATGGGGTTTTTTTTTGGTTGGGGAGAGGGTGGTTGTTATGTGTAACATTCGTTTGATTTTTCGAAAACAAATAAAATACAAATATGTATGTATGTATATTAATATTATTATTTATTTATTCTTACTCCACCCCTTTTGGGTTGGAAGGGTTGTTTGTATATTACAGCTACGTAAAATCTTATTGTTTCTTTTGTTGAAATGCACATGAAAGTAATAATATATCTTATATTATAAGAAACAGTCAACAACAGGCATGGCGTGCAGGCAGCATTAGTTCTCGTTCGATCACTAAAGTCAAGCAACGCTGAGCACGATCAGTACTTGGATGGGTGACCGTTTTCGGAACACTGTGTTCTGTTTGACTCTACCTAGTTAGTTAAAAAACCTAGTTGGTCCTAAACCCAGACAAAGGAAAAGGGTTCGAGGGTGAAGCCTAGCAACCAACCTACCCTCGGTAAAAACAATAAAGCAATCCCAAAAATAACAATAAAAGATATAACAGGACGTCCTAATAAAAAGAAGAAGAAGAAGCAGAAAAAACGAGTGTTCCGAACATTCTTTGATCGAGTCTAAAAAAAAGAATAGAAACAAAAAACAGAAAAGAATCTAGATATGTATCTATAGTGGGAAGAAATATCTGTATTTAGATCGTTAATTTTGTGTGTAGGGGTGAACTTTTATACCTAACGCGCTAATAGGATTTCTTTGAACGCCGACACCTTTTCCTCCTCCTTTATCGGGTCCGGTCTTCATCTTATTACAAGCACAAAGTGCTTTTGCGTGGATTTTAAGAGTGGCCAGCCACCAACCAGCCAGTTTAGTCCATTAAGAACACACGACTAGTAGTAGGTAGAGGTAGTTTCGTGTTCCGCGTTCTTTTAGTGCGTAAAACGTATAACTATATAGATGGAAAACGGAAAATCGTGAGTTCCAACTCGTTACGAGGATAGAGTAAGTTAGTGAATTGTTAAAAATTTGTTGTCTGGGTTTTATCTTAGCTGGAAGTTGGCTTCTTCCTATCGAGTATGCCGATCCTACACGTCTCCCTAACATCGACGTATATATTATACTATACGTTAATGGTATTTAACAGGACAACGATCCTGAGCCATCATTACCGGTTGCAGTTGCAGTTGCAATTGCAGTTGCAGTTAGCATGTACTCAGTGGGTTGGTTGGTGCATACTCTCTTTCCTATCTTTTTTCTATCTTCTTCTTACGTTTCATTAGGTTATTGTCATACTCTTGATTACGCAACTTATTTTTATGGGATTCACAAAGATCATGATTATTACTTATTATTCGGTTTGCCTAACGTTCCAACCGAGATATCGTGAGATTCGATGACTCGTCGCCAAAGTAACAACTCCTCCTCCTCCTTTTCCTTCTTCTTCTTCTTCTTATTATTATTATTATTATTATTATTATTTCTCTACCTTTTCTAGTTGATTCAGCATCTTTAAATGCGTGTTTTACTAAACACGCGATTTTGCGGTATCGACTCGGCGTATCATCTTGCTCTTAACCCAGTCGGATTTCTTCTTCTTCTTTTTCTTTTTCTTCTTCTCGAGAGAAAGAGAAAGAATTTTTGTTCAATTTCTAATCGTAGTGTCGCCGATTAAACTCCTTGTTAAACATCGAACGGTAAACGAACCGGTGAAAACCTAATACCGATTTTACCCTTTCCTATGTCTCTTCATAGTATATTTAGTAATTAAGATTAAATCAGGAATAAAATGTCTTATCGGAACGCGCGGCATAATATTTAAGTTAACGGCTGTTATTAGTAATAATCATTTATTTATATTCTTTCGTTTCGCATAAGATAATTTTTTCTTGTCCCTTTAATAACCACAGACGTTGGAAAGAAATGACTACTCAACAGATATTTCCGACACGTTAAAACAATGAAATGCATCGTCGTTACGCTTTCACCATAGAATCAGCTCTACGAATTCCTATTAAATTTATGCTCGGTCTATTCATTTGTATGAACTCGTGCACAGTTTACTAAAAACAAATCAAAAGATACAAATGTTATCTGTAAAAGTGGAATTCGATATATAATTTTAAACAAATGTTACTCCGACAAAGTAAAATACTCGTTCGAGTATTTATTTTTTTATATTCTCAACGAAGATAAAAACTTGATAAAAGAGGTCGATAACAAATTCTAAAATCATTCATTAATTAATAGGGGGACATATTTGTTGTATCTCTTTTACATTAATCTGAAATTTAGGAATTTTTATGCTAACAGTGGGTTGCGTGTTTAGTTAAAATTTTTGTAGGAATAGGAATAAAATGAGAATGAAGAAGTAGAAGAAGTAGAAGAAGAAGAAAACGATGATGATCGTGACAATGACCTACCGAGATAGCTCACACTCTTGTGACGTAACTTCGCATACGTGTGCGACGAGGACGACAACGACAACTACGAGGAGGAGGAGGAGGAGGAGGAGGAGATTCGCATGCACGTGGAGAGAAAATATAAAAGGTTTTAAAACGGGCGCCGATTGGAGAGAGATATTTCTCTTCCTCTCTCTCTCTCTCTCTCTCAGTATCCCCTACCATAATCTTCCTCAACGTCGAGAGGTACGATCGCGAACTTGCGCGTTCCCGGCAAGTCTCATCTAACACACACTCACGAACGGACCACGCGTGCTTACGAACTGTTCTTACTTAGTCGGCCATATTTTTTTCTTTCTTTCTTTTATATTTCTATCGTAGAAAATAATCAGAAGGGAGCAAAAAAATTAAGTAACCCCCTTGGCCACCCCCAACACCACCACCACCACAATTCCCATTTCCAAAAGACCTTTTTTTATTCAAAACCATTCCGTGATATTTTTTATTATATATTTTCGCTTGTGTCATTTATTTATTCGTTCACGTGGTTAAACAGTGCCGTGAATATATTTGTAGAATTATTTTTTCGGAAAAGGGGATAAGGTGTTTTTGTAATTCTACTTCTTTTTTGTCGGATAATTTGTCAAATCTTCGCGACCAATAATTCTTGGATCATCGTCGTCGTCGTCATCGTCATCTGTAACCCTCGAAAGGACCTTGGGATTACGTGAACGTCGTTGAAGATCGTCAGCGTGCGATCAACTCGAGATGTAAGTGGCAAAGTGTAAGGTCTACACCTTGCGCAATGTGATCGGTCTCTCTCGAAATCTTACGCTTACTGTTTTCTTCTCGAGTCAACACTTCCTTCTACAATTTTGGGAAAACACTTCGAACGATAGTTAACCCAAAAAATTGTGTCCCTACTTTATTCAACGATTTCATATTTCGGTTTTCTGTCCCATTACATTCGCACGCGTACTATTTCTACTTTTTTCGGCCGTTTTGAATCGGACCAGGAGAAGGAAGTATTGTTTGTTTGTTATCTCATGTTATAAACCGAAAAAAGAAATCACTTTCTGGATCACATCGGAAAAACAATAAACGTGCTACACCACACCACACATGAACGGAGTGCAGCAGCAAATCTTTGTTAAATCAGAAAACTTCGTCGAATGGCAGCAGGATTGTTCAACAAATTCGGAATGTCGGAGTCTGGTTTTCGACGAATGCCTTTTACAGGTACACTTTATCAGGACCTTTTATTTATTTTGGCATTTTTCTAAACGATCAAACAAATATACAAAATTTCGTATTACACTTCATTAAAATAAATCAAATATAATCAAAAATAATCATAAAATCCAGTAAATATAAAACCGAAATATTAAATAAGAAATTAAATAATATTTCAATAAGTAATTGATATAGAATTGAAAATAAATGATTGAGATTAGAAGAAATATCACAAATGGACACCCTACTGAAATTCGCTTTCATAATACGAGATCATGCACACAGCATAGAACACGTTCTCGCGACCTTGCTACTCTCTCTATCTCTCTCTCTCTCTCTCTCTCTCCCTATCTATATCTATCTGTCTCCTTATTTCTTCTTCTTATTCCGAGTGCGAGAGCAACACATACTAACCCAAGAACCGTCATTACTACAACCGTGGGGCACTTTAATACTTTGCTGCTGGTTACTTGCTTGCTAGCTAGCTAGCTAGCTAGCTAGCTGAGTACTTGGTGCAGGACTCTCAACACACGTAATGAGCAAGCTAAATTAATATATTTCTACTATGTTAGCCGTAGAAAAGCTTTTGCCTAAGACGTCGTAGGATAATATGTCGTGCGTATTGTAGCAACGAGATAGAGATAGGAAATATATGAAAATAAAGATATATGAAGAAAGAAAAAGAGAGAGAGAGATGAAAATAATAAGAACGACGACTAGAAAAGTTATGCAAGAGAACACGATGTCGCCAGTCGCAAACCATATCATTTTTGGAACTCTTCTCTCACGCGACTGTCGTATTAACACTGACCTCAGTCACCTGTAATTGCTACGTGTGTTACCCGTATATACGCCAGAGATATACGAAGACAACGCGTACGTAATACGGCCTATTATACTCTCCGAGCATATGGCTCTTACGTATCGTTAGATCATTTTTTTATACTTTTTTTTCTTTGTTGTTTCCTTATTCTTTTCCTTACATATATATTATAACTTGAGTATATATAGAGTGGGTCACTAAAGTATTCGTATTTCTGTTCAATCTCATGCAAATGATTTTTATATTTATCGTATAGTATGTTTTAATTTTTAAATGTTTCATGTAATGGATGAAATATTTAAAATATATAATTTATTATTATATTTGTAATAGAAAGAAATAGTGTTAGATAATTTAATCGATATGAATTTGTTTTTAAGATTATTCTCTCAAGAGTTTTACCATTTTATATTGGAGAATTATTTAAATATTATCGAAAATTTATTTGCATTTATATGTAAGATGTAATAAACATACTGTTATTTATTTTAGTAAATTGTATTTGTTGGGTTGAGATTTATACTTTGGATTTGATAACACTTTTAAAACAATTAGGCACTTCTCTTGTAATAAAATGTTGTAATCAAATTTATATAAATTTTTAAAAGTTGAATAATCCTTTAATATGTTTCTGTGTATAAAAATATTGAAATATTGTATTCTAAGAAATTTATTAATTGTTTTAAATTAACAGTAAGAGGAGGGAGTACGAATACTTTTCTGAAATTCATTGTATATTTCTCTTTTTCTTATTTCTTTTGTTCTTTATTTATTTTAAAATAACTACATATAGAATAAATCGCTAAAAGCTATAGTAGTTTACTATTGATCTGAATAGATATGATCAGATCTTTTGTAGAATAGTTCTCAAACTATTTCAACAGGTACTCCGTTAGATTTGAAGTTAGAAACACCCCCATGTTAGAAAGCTTAAAAACCTGTCTAGTAGAATTCTAGTTTTTCTTTACAAAGAAAAAGACCTCCCAGAAATTGGCATTATATTTAAACCTTTTTCAATCGGTTTAGATTATCCTTTTACAAAAATACCTATTTTATTGACAGCTCTTTAAAGTTCTCACATCCAATTTGTCATATTTTTCTTTGTCAATATTTTTAGGTCTATGTGAAATTTGAAATTTTCACTGGAACCAATAAGCGTACGTCTTTATTTTTCGTAATTTTCTAGATGAAAGATTCGTGATTGACACACATACCTAAATAATTATAATACTTAACGTTTAAACATTCATATACTGGATGAAACATTTCAAACAGAACATTTCAATAACTCGATTATTATTTGTAATAGAGGGGGACGATAATTTCTTGCTTTCTAGAATGGTATAATTCTATAATAATTACATTTTTGTATAAACGAAAGCGTAAAGAGAACATGAAGATGAAACTAAACGATATGAATATGAATTATTTTTTTGTTCTTTTTTTTTTTTCAATGAAATTATATATTTTTCTACAACGAATATTCTATGATTCAAGATTATATAAAATCTTAAAAGATCACAACCTCGATGGACAAAAAAAATTTGATTTATAATTGAATATATATTTATATTATTAATAGGATAATATATTACCATCGAATTTATTTAAATTAAATAAAAGATATATATATGTTACTTTTTCTATCATTTAATAAAAAATTATTATTTAAATGTCCTATTCGACGTGTTTCACCCGGTATATATTCTCAATGATATTTTAATACCATAAGACAACTCTTTCGAAGAGGTAGTTAATTAGGGAAATTTTCTCGTTGGTCAGATGTTAGAATTTATGTTCTCGGTCTAATCGAATCTTCATGCGATGTATAACAATTATATAATAATCATTATGTAATTGATAAAGTAGCGAAGAAAAGTCTATTCCCAGCACGAGAAATAATATGACGAATAACGCGTTACGAGAGAATACAACAACAACAACAACGACAACGACAACGAAGACAAGATGAAGAAGTCTTCTTAAGCAAGAAAAGAAACATATTTGCGAAATAAACGGCCTTGCACCTTGATGTCAAGCCGAAGATGAAAGCAAAGGAAATGATGGCTATGGCTCATACAAGTAACACGCGTGCAATCTTTCATTTCGGTCTTCTTGGTACACTTAGAACGAATATCACCACCACCACCACAACTGGAGCCATAATTCTCGAGCATGAAATTGTTCTCACGATATTAAAAAAACTAGACTTTGTTCTCGTCGACACACAATTTTGTCGATTGTTAATATATTAATCAATCAAATATATTATATTGTATATATTAAGTGCATTATTACCTTTATACAAATGTGCAACATTTGGAAGGGCATATAAAAAATATTTAATAAAAGTAATTTTATAGAGGACAATGTTTTATTTCAATGGTGGATTTCGAAGAAATGTCATTTTTCTGAATAGTTCACGTCAATACTTTTTATACTTATAGCAAGCGGATTTTAATAATTTTTATATTAAATTAAAGTACATTCTTTT